AGATTAAAGGACAACAACAACCAACAGGTAATGACAGGATCCACGGAACCTAAGTCCGGATACAATAATTTAAAGAGAAAAGACTGGGGTCGCTATACAAACTGTATATGAATGAATAAGATTTTTCATAAATAGAGTCCCATAAGATTTTTCATCTTAAGAGTCGTATGTTCTTTGCTGGAATATGGACTGTCACTTGAGAGTTGAGTTGCTTTCTATTATGGATTTTAAAGAGGGGAAGCTTCCTATGAGGTATTTGGGGGTTCCTCTTGTCTCTACTAAGTTGTGTAAAATAGATTCTGATAAATTGGTTGCTAGGATTACTAAGAGGATTCAATCGTGGGCTAATAAAGTGTTGTCGCATGCTGGTAGAGCCCAATTGATTAAAAGAATTTGTATTAATAGAATTCTTAATTTTAATATATAATAGAATTTGTATTTGTTCAATTCATTTCTTAATGGGTTTGAATTTTGTTTTTGTTTTTTTTATATAAACAAATCTTTGGGTTTAGTTTGATTGTTGGATTAAAAAAATGTCAATTGATGGTGTTTGATTGCAATTCTAGATTCTAGATTATTTGATTTTTTTCAGCTTATTTAACTCAGAAAAAGTTAGATTACTTGTAATTGTTTTCAAATTAAGAATGTGCCTGAATTCATTAGAAGCTAAATAGTATAATGATAGTGGAAAGAAATGAGATAAAGAGAGATTATTTTTAATTAAATTCCATGTATATATAATAATTTAGTTGCCATTTTTTTTTTTTTAATATTAGCAAAGATATGTATCAATACTAATATTGAGAACATCAGGAAAATGAAATCTTAGGATACTACCATAGTGTATTTGCTAATCATTTTTCACATTGGTGGAGGTTGTGCCTCTTTGGGTTGGTTCAGACCATGGTTGTTTGTTGTGGTTATGCCTCTAATTGGGTTGCTTCAAGTCATTATTGTTTAGTTTGGTTGTCAGGCGGCATGAGAGGTGTCACACTCTTCATGGTTTTCATGAAAATGTTGTTGGCTATAGAATTTCGTTCTTAATTTTTTTTTTTAATACAACTCCAAAAGGATGTAACCATGGCTAGAACTCTGTTTTTGTGTATATAACCTACTCTACTACACAACTATATCACTATGAGATTGAATAAATGATGGGCATGACAACCCAATACTACACACACGAGAGGCAAAGAAGATCTCATTCTTATGAGGTATTAGTAAGTTTGTTGTCCCCTAGTACATGGGACTAACTAAGGATGTCATTTATATACTTTTCCAAACACAGATAGCATAGGATATCCATATGTATAAAACATTTCAATAGAGTCACTACTACAATAATGGTTAAAAGTCACACTTTTCAGATTGAATTTAGATAAGAATCATGCTTAAAAGTAGCAAATTATGAGTACAAAACTCTAAAATTCTGCTCAAAGCTTGCTTTAGTCTGAATTTATGTTCAATGTTGACAAGTATAGATAAGGAACATGATGTTGCACCTGCCTTGCTCCATTCTACAGACTTGATGTATAGATATTATAGCTTTCTTTTGTTTTATTTTAAAGCTATTAAATATATTTTATAGTTTTTTTAATTTTTTTAAAAATTTGACAATTCTCGTGGCTTCTCTGAGCTGTGTTTGCATTGCTAAATATATCTATTGAATTGTGGTTTTAACTTTGCATATCTAAACATCACTTATAATTTTTAGATTAGATATCACTCACTTGAAGAAGAAATAGCCTTTGGACCTAGTTGTTGGTTGTGGGATTATTTAAGAAGTGGGCTTCTAGTTTTCTGCATCCACTTTCTAGTGGTGCTGGGTTCTAAGGCACATAATGGTTATGTTTACAAAATTGGAATTGTACGTGGTGTTTTTATATTATTTTTGTTACTATCAATGACATTTTGTTTTACATGTTGGCCAGCTCTTTGGTTTGATGAACACACTTCTGGAAAATTCCAAAAACACTGCAGAGAAGGATCTTTCTATTCAAAGATATGCTGTCATTCCATTGTCTCCAAACAGCGGATTAATAGGATGGGTACCAAATTGTGACACCCTGCACCATCTCATTTGGAGTATAGAGATGCTAGAACGGTCTGCTAAGGTTCATTTGATGCTTTGTGTGTGTGTGTGTGTGTCTGCGTACATTTCGTCTAATTTTTTGTGCATGTTTTTGGAATATAGATCTCCTTAAATCTAGAGCACAAACATATGCTTAATTTTTCTAAAGATTATGACCATTTGCCACTTATAGCTAAAGTGGAGGTGTTTGAGTGTGCTCTGCAAAATAGTGAAAGAAATGACCTGGCAAGGGTATGTTTTCTTCAAGAAATATGCTGCACCTTTGGCTCTCTCTTGGGAATTCTTTTCTCAAGTTAGTTACATTGCCTCTTGATAGGTGTTTTGGTTAAAAAGTCGCACTTCTAAGAATGGGCTGGACAGGAGGACAAATTATACTAGAAGCTTGGCTGTCATAAGCATGGTATCATTTTTCTTCTCGTATTATTTAGATTTTTTTCTCAAGACTAGCAGGATCCGGCTGTATATGTTTCCACAAAATCAACACAATATGGCTCCCATGTATGATCTTATTTGTTAACCTTTTATGCTTTAGAAATGTTTAGATAAGAGATTGTTTCGAAGTGAATGTATGTTATTTGATTATACTTTTCTTTCTTTGGTTAGAATGATATACTAAGAAGGAACCCGGCAAATGGTGTTTGATTCTGTGCATTGACTTGGTTCTGCTCTTGGGTTCAATGCCTGTTTGTTACTGACTATATAGTAAGATCATTTTTTTCCCCCTGTGAAATATGGCATAAAATTGGAGTAATGAAGGCATACAATTTGCATACTGGCATCATACTTGTCATTGATCATCCCTTTTTCTTGACATATATGTTCTTAGGATTAATATTTTTTTGCATCTACAAGGATATGGCAAAAGGTCACAATTAAATAAAGATCTTTATCATAAATCTCTCTCTCTCTCTCTGTATATGACTATCGTAAATAAAGATTTTTTTGCATATGCGGAGATCAAGGCATTGAGAGAAGGCAGAAAGGTTCGGATCTACCCCCTTCTCTCTCTCTCTCTCTATATATATATATATATGACTATCGTAAATCTGATTTGGTTGTTGATTTTCGTTTGTTTGTGTTGGTTGTTGATTCTGTTTTGTTAATGATTCTGTTGATTTTCGTTTGTTTTTGTTGGCTTTCAATTCTAGGTGTGTCGATCAACAGGAAACAGCGAGTGGTGCATCCTCCTAAGCCAAAAGAAGCCTCTTTGGCTATCAAATGGGAATGTATTTAATATTTTCATTAATGGAAAATTGGATAAAGGTGTGATTAATCAACTTTCATAGCATTTTCTAGTTGCCTGTTGCATAAAATTTGAAATGGAGTTCACTTAGTAGCTAGTTGTTCCTCAGTTATTTCAATAGCATTGCACTTTTCATGCAAACTGGAGTCACTTCACCAGTAACATGAAGATTCTTTATGTTCTGTTGTTAGCTATTGGTGGGGAATATGAATGAGGTAATGATGTAAAACTACTTGTTTTAGTTGTATTTCTAATTTATTTTTCCCAATTTGTTTCCTTTTCTTAATATATATATATATATATATAAATTTGTTCCCCCAATTTATTCAATTGCTCCAGCTCTCTCTCTCGCTCTCGCATGCCCTACCTCTCTCTCACGCTCGCCATCATGGTTCTCGCTCTCGTATGCCCTGCCACTCTCTCACGCTCGCCATCATGATGGTTCACAAGTATGGATCTCTCTGTGTAGGTTTCTCGTTCTCTCTCTCGGTCTCTCAATCTCTCTCTTGATCTCTAAATCTTGAAGACCTAAGATTTATATATGTGTTTTTTTTTTCTCTACAGCGAATTGGCATTGAAGCTCAGAGCAATTGCACAGGTCATCTACATTCCTCAATTCTTTTGCTAATTCCCGTATGTGTTCAAATTCATTCGTTTATTTCTGTCTCTATATGTACTATGGATATATATATATATGTATAATTCCAGATGTATTCATGTTCCCTCATATTTCAGAAAGTATACTATTGATATCTTTAAGTAGTGGTATATTCATGAACAGGCCAAAAGTACTTGAGGTCACTCCAACTAGCCCTATCTTAACAAGAGGAAAAAACCTGAGAAAAAAAGACCTTAGTTGTTGAGCATGAGTTAGTCAAGTCTGTTTTTAGTTATGTATGATTTCAAAATGCATTCTATTCTGTGCAGATGGAGGAGATCTTTTATGTTGTGATAATTGCCCAAGAGCTTTTCACACAGGTGATTCAAGTTTCTTGAATGACTTCCCTTCAAGTCGTTTAATTTCTTTTCTGTTTTGTAACTCCAATCCCGGATGCTTGCTCGTCTTCTACGTTCTTTTATGATGTGTTCAAGGAATCAAGGACCTATCTCCCTTTCCTCTTCTCTTTCCCATTCTTTCTGGATATATAATTACTAAAATGCTAATATCTTAAAATTTTGAAATAGTGAGAAGGACTTTGATGAAGTATTGCAGTCACAAACTGTTTATTCAAATGTTTCGAAGGGGGTTCTTGCCAAGTCAAAAGATTTAGTAGCAGCTTTTGGGACAGATGATCAGACAAATATATGCTTGGAGGTAAGTTTTAAGCTTGTTACTTACATTTGGAATATGTCACTGTGTGATAGACTATTCTTGGCAGTGGCTTGTGTGGGTTAACTTGACAAGTTCTTTAAGTAAATTATTATTATTATTTGTTGAAAAAAGTGGTGGTTAACTGATGTACCTCAATTTGGAACAGATTTTGGACAAAGGAGAGCTACAAGTTGCTGGAAAGGAAAGGGATTCTCAATTATCGAGTCAGTTTCGGATATTGCTACCATAGTTATGCAGAAGACTATTAACCCGGAGACTCAACGCCCTTATACTATTAGCATGATTGAGCGTCTGATGCATGAAATCCATTTTGCGGTTGATCCCCATAGTAGCTCAAAAAAACAGGTGAGTTCATTTGTTTGGTTGTAGATTGACAAGAGATTTATGGTTTTCTGAGTTTTAGTGAATTTTCGCTCTGCATTGATCTGTGTTAAGTACTCTCAAATTGTTAGGAAATTCAATTAATTGTGCTATTCACATTTGAAATTTTGTTTAATTCTTTGCTTAAATAAAAAAGAAAA